GAAAATCTATTGGATTATTTTAACTTTTTTAGCAAATAAAAAACTTGAAAAAGTGGTGCGTGCAAATTAATTCGGGGGGCCCTACTTTTCAGTGGGCCAGCCAAACTTCACTTCCAAGTTCAGCGAAGGATCTCTGAATGATCCACATTGTCCTAAATGACCTGCATTGTGACTAAATAGACATCCACCTGTGTGTAAATCAAGTCTCTGTATAAATGCACCTGCTCTGTGCATAGTCTCAGGGTTCGTGAAAGCGCAGGGAGAGCATCATGAAGACCAAGGAACACACCAGGCAGGTCGTAATACTGTTGGAGAAGTTTAAAGCCGCGATTTGGATACACAAAAATTCCCAAAGCTTTAAACATCCCAAGGAGCACTGCTGCAAGCGATCATTTTGCAAATGGAAGAGTATCAGACCACTGCAAATCTACCAAGACCTGGCCTCCCTCTAAACTTTCAGCTCAGACAAAGGAGAAGACTGATCAGAATGCAGCAAGAGCCCATGATCACTCGGATGAACTGCAGAGAACTACAGCTGGAGGTGGGGAGGAGTCGCCATAGGACAACATCAGTGCGACACTGCCAACATCTGCCTTTATGGAAGAGTGGCAAGGAAGAAAGCCATTTCTCAAAGATATCCAAAAAAGTCTCGGTCTAAAAGTTGCCACAAGCCACCTGGGAGACAACCAACATGTGAAGAAGGTGCTCTGGATCAGATGAAACCATAAATCGAACTTTTCCCACAATGCAAGACATATGTTGGCGTTTAAAAGCAACACAGCTCATCGACCCTCAACACACCTCCCACTGTCAAATCATGGTTGTGGAGCATCATGTTTGGCCTGCCTTTTCTTCAGACTAGAATTCAGGAAAAGAATGGGTTAAAATTGAGGGTGAAGATGGGATGCAGGCACAATACAGGCGACATTCTGGGATGAAAACCGTTGAGTCTGCAAAAGACCTGAAACTGGGACTGGAGATTATCTCCAACAAGAACAATGAATCCAAACATACAGCAAAATCTACAAAGGAATGTCTCAAATAAACGTATCCATGGTGTGTAGAATGCCAAGTCAAAGTCCAGACCTGAAATCCAATCGAAGAATCTTTGCTAAAGAGCTGAAAACTGCTGCTTCACAAAACGCTTACCATCCAACCTCACTGAAGCTCGACTGTGTTGCAAGGAAGAATGGGCCAAGAATTTCAGCTCTCGCATGTGCAAAACTGATAAGACATACCCCAAGCGACTTGCAGCTGTAATCGCAGCAAAAGGGGCTCTACAAATATAACGCAAGGGGCCGAATAATTTTGCACCCCCCACTTGTCATTTTTTTATAGTTAAAAAGCTTTCAAAAATCCCAATAGATTCGTTCCACTCACAATTGTGCTCCACTTGTGGTGATTCTTCACAAAAAATAAAAATTTTATATCTTTATGTTTGAAGCCTGAAATGTGGCAAAAGGTTGAAAAGTTCAAGGGGGCCGAATACTTTCGCAAGGCACTGTATGTGCAAGGATTATGTTGTATCCCGTTTCGCAGCTGCAGCGCTTCAGGAGTGGACCAAATTAAAAACTTGTTTCCATATTAGTCGCTGGGACACAAATAGAAAGTAAGAAAATAAGGTCCAGTTTGAAAAGTATAGAAGTTACCCTTAAAGTGATTATACTGATATACACAGGTACAATGGAAAAAGCTCTCATGTACACAGACTTGTACACACAGTGTGAGATAATAACATGCAGTAAGTGCTACAGTAACCACAAGCAGGCACTTACTTTCCACCTGAGCCCAGAGATGCTGAGCCTATTATGACACAGCCATTAAACTAAACTACTCTTGTTACTGGAGGAGGTGGCTTAAGGTAAAACCTTAATTACCAGATTGGGTTGGCTTCACACAGCAACTTCCTGAAGACAGGAAGTGCTTTTTACCCCCCATCCATCACCCACCCCCAATGGACCCTCATGCCTCACATATGGCAGATGTGGCTGACATCTGTTAATGACAATAATGAAAGTAGCTGGGCTTGTTATGTGTGGGGTTTTTAAACAGAGGCGTGTGTGAATGGAAGAGGAAGGATCTTTAAGCGCTTGCTTGTGCAATGGTCCTGATTGGACTCTAGGAGCTGCAGGCTACATCTGATATTCATGGGCTTTCTGTCCCCGACTCAGCAGTTAGCCTTTAGGGTTGTTCTAAAATAAAGCACAGGCTTAAGTGACAATGAGATTGGAGAAACATCCAGAGCCTGGAGTTTTAATCCCAGTCAGATAACACATCTTACTTTATTACTAATTTCTGTTAATGTAGTGCACTCAGCAGAAAGGCCCACCGGTGCTGCCGTTGAGCTGTTAATTCTTATTATAAAGTAACGTTGTAGTAATAAAAATATCCTGCAATAAAAAGTTGATCCAAATAAATACAAATAAAACCAAGAAGGCGGCACGCAGCCTAAAAGTGAGCAGTTGTGTCCTATTTTGAGGTCAGTCCATCTCTCCTTTGGCAGCCAAAAGTGCCCAGCAAGCCTCATTAACATTTCACACCATCTGCATCATATTAGGACAAAAAAGGGACAAATCTGGTCTTGAGACCTCTTTTCCTCTGGCATTCTGCTGCTAAATGGCATCACGGGCATTTTCGAAAGCAGGTTTCTTCACCGCTGCTAGGCCTCAATCGATTCTCCAGGGCGCTGTGATTGATCGCGCGGGTTGCCAGGTCACACGGGGCAGCATGTTTGGCTGCACAGGTTGCTAAATCACTGCAGGGCAACACAATTGGCTCAACACGCTGCCAAAATCACTGCAGGCAGAGGGATGTGCTGGTGGAGAGTGAGAGCTAAAAATTACCACTCAACTCTGAGAAATACACATACTACAGATTTCTTTCCAATAACAAGAGCATGTCTGCCTTAAAAGACAAATAACGCTCTTAAAGACTTGATATGTACACAGTTGTAAACAATGCATAAGCTACTCCCTTAAAATATTGAAAGAAAAATATTCCCGTATAAAATATTGGAATTGGATACTGAATACTAACATTAAGAAAAACTGCCAAAGATGTAGTATAATGACCACACTGTTTATACAGTAATTTGAATTGTAGTCATACCATAGCCTCATAATACGAAACCTCTGCTACTTTAATCTCATTTAGACTCTGGACTAATCCCTATGAATCCATATTATATATTTCTCAATTGCCTCCATTTGAAATGAGGATTTAATTGTACCCTTTGTACAATCTACAAAAATGCATCATCTCAAACTATTAACTCTTGATCCGTTTGTATCTCCTTCCTTCCTGGATTAAAGATGTACTCTTTATTTCCGTTTTATTTCATTAAGCCACAATAAGAACATAATAATTAAATTAAATTAAATTAAATATTAAATAGCAGAGATATGGTGCATAGAAAGATGGTTGCAAAAAGCAGAGCTATTACAAAGACCCGTCCTTTAAGGTAGTGGTTCCCAACCTTTTTCCTTAGGAGACCCATTTATTTTTAGTAAACTGATGACTTTTGAGTCAGGGACATATTGTCACATTATATTTAAAACTGTACAATGAACCCAAATAATGAACTCAGTAGGGTGTGAGTTATTTGGATGAATTTTGAGCAGATTATTTTCTGTTTCTAACAGTCACACATACTTACTAGGCTTCTTTTTTTCTGTGTGTCCTTTGTCCTCTATTTCCAATGTGGCTCGTGCTGCATTAATGTTTCCTAATTTTGTCGGATAAATGTTTTAAATCCACAATTCCTTGTTGGGTCCAAGCCGTGTCTCCTCCAAAAAGCAAACATTTGAAACAGAAAAGTGAATTACTAGCTACAGTTGCTGTTAGCCAGTCCTTTCGCTGAAACCACGTAACACAAAAGTTACGATTTTGTCGTTTGTCCTTTTGTGTTATTTGTACATCATCTGGATGATGTGTCCCCAATCTCTGTAAACGTTCCATTTTTTCCACCAAAAACTTTAAAGAAAATTGATTAAGAAAGAAATAAATCCACCTCGTTCATGTTCATGCTAACGCCCGCCATACTACGAACTAGCCTCACTGTACTGTAGCTACTGCGCTGTGATTGGTCGAAGGTCACTGTGCTGTAGGATACTGCGCTGTGATTGGTCGAAATGGGCAGCATATGAAGGGGGCGTGTCACGACACCTGTCAATCAAAAGTGAATGGAAGCTTACGCTACTGTGCTTGGGCTGAATGAATTTAGCCCATTCACAGGAAAATATATCATATATCCTGGGTTTTTCTCTCCCTTGTTGGCTGCTTGTTCTGCTCTAGGTTCTTAAAAATTCAAAAGCAATATGTTCTAAGGGTTTTTAATAATAGTTTTTCATCTTTACTCTAAACGATAGGGGGGCTTAGCCCTGTTAGCCCATATATACTAGCCGTCCCTGGCTGTAACACATAATGACACATGAAATGGTTACACACTACAGGAACCTTTGTTGCCGCAACAGAAGCGCATTTGGATGGGTCATTGTGTCAAGGAAGTTGTAAAACCAGGAGTAAACTCACGTGTAATGCTTTTCACCCATTTGAAAGGCTACAAGGTAGAGTATTGTTGTAAAGGACATATATAGGTGTATAAGGTTAAGAGGGTCACGGTGAAAACATTCATTCCTTCAAGGTGAATTCCATTATCCAATCCATTTACACTAGAACTGCAGTATAAAAGCATATCTACTCTGACTCTCGTAGATGCAGTTTTGCTGACCACTAAGCTAAAGGTTGTTATTATTTTAAAACAGCACTCAATGCACAAAATTTGTCCCGGGAAACATGACAAAAACATTAAGTACTTACATTTTCTGAAAAGCTTGATCACTTTTCAGAGTCTCAAATAATCTCATATAATAACTAATTTCATTTTATACAGGGAAATAAAATAGGGAAAATGTAGCGAACTTGAAGTGGTTTTATTCTCCGCTACATGTTTTAGTCGCCACATTTATAAATACATACATTTCCATCCACTTTTACCTGGAGGAGGTGGCCAAGGAGATGAGAAGGGCCTGCAAAATGCCTCTGATGTAAACAATGGGGCTCTTCTTAGTGATGAAGAAGTACATGGCCGGGAGGATGAATAGGCCGTGCAGCACTAAGCCCATCACCACTGTAATGGCGTAAAAACCCAGCTTCTTCCCCATGGCTGAAGGGTCGTCCATCTCCAAGATCTTACCGGCAACCAGAAACACAATCCCAAAGGGGAAATACCTGTGAAAGGAGGAAGGAAGGAGGGAAGGAAGGAAGAGTGCATGTTTATAAAATGAAAGCTACTACATCGGCTTTTATTTAAAATGAGAGTATTTCTCATCATGTTGTAGACAGTCATTTAATTTTCAACAAGCCTTCTCCAGCCGTGCTAGTAGTCATGTGAAGTTGTACTTTGGCACAGTGGTGCTTTGAACTAAGTGCTAACATGCTCACAAAACTAACAGGTAGCTAGTAGGTATAATGTTTACCATATTCACATCTTATTTTGACTTGCTTAGCATTAACACAAAGTACAGCAAAGGCTCATAGGAGCACCATTCATTTTAAAGGACCAGTGTGCAGGATTTAGTGTAATTTAGCGGTGAGGTGAAGCTGTAATTTGCGACCAACTACAAATACCACTCGTCTTCCAAGCGTGTAGGAGAAAATTGCGAAAGTTTCGTTCTAGGCTACTTTAGAAACATCATGGGTCAACATGGTGGACTCCGTAGAAGAAGCTCTCTATGTAAAAAAAAGCTGCTCATTCTAAGGTAACGAAAACACAAAACATACCTATGAATATGACGGTATATCCGATTTTTTCCAACAGATCCTCCTAAATGTTACACACTGGACCTTTAAAGGTATTTGGACAGATTTTACCAAATGTTTTAGCGCTGTTTCCATTCAAGTTACAACTCTTACCAGATAACAATGGCAACAATCTTCAAAACTGCCTCATTCAAACTCTGACAGAAGTTGACCAAAGCGCTTCCATTGGGTCCCATTCTGCCCAACATTATTCCTGTATTGAAGAAAAAAACATTTGTATTGCATACATTGCTTGATAATTGCATCTGTCACACATCTAATGATAAAAATAAAAATAGACGAGTATGAAATAGATTTTTTTCCACCCACTTACCCATAGTAGCAGAAAAAATAACAATCCCCAGCACATTCATGCCTTCGCTGGTACCAGGTGACGTTTTCATAATGACATCAGGGGGCGGCGTCAGATCCAGGGAGAAGTTCTGGACGTCTGTGCCATTGTCATCCTGGATGCCGTAGATGTAGACCCTGCGTGTGGTGGTCTCATCCAGGAGCTGAGCCAAGGTTGGTTTGGGGATGAGCTCGGGGACTCTTTGGGTTCGATACTTGAAACCAAAGCAGAGCACAGGTCCCAACATCAGCACAGTAAGCATGACAGCAACGGAGATGTTGAAAGCAGCAGACTGTCACATGATAATGACGTGTAGGCTCATATTAGAGATTTCAATTAGATCATTCACATTACAGTAACAAGGACAATAAACGAGACGAGTGTTACTCTCATATGTGAGTATGAGTTCGCTAGGAAACAGCTATCCTGGGATTTGTTCTAGCATTGTATGTTAAATATTTTGCTTACCTGTTGAAAAGTTGCTTGAACCAGGTTGGCTGGAAACATGTTGCTGGGGAAGATAATTTTGAGAAATGTTAAAGTCCTTCAGAATGAATGAATGAATGTATATATATAAATACATAAATAAGTTTTAAAAAGTGTCCTTCACCCATGTCCTTAATAGTCACAGCACTCATACACTCATACATCTTGAATTTCCCTTGGGATAAAATAAAGTATGCTATCTATCTACGTCTATCTATCTTCTATCTATCTATCTATCTATCTATCTATGCTATCTATCTATCATCTATGCTATCTATCTATCTATTACTCTATCTTTATCTATCCTACTCTATCTATCTATCTATCTATCTATCCCTCAGTATAAAGATGTATCTCTGTATTATTCACTGATGCAGTATGTTCATGGCCATAAACACCTTGTCAACTGCAGCATAATCTTTTTTTTGGGGGGGCAGATTTTGATTATATTTTTTCCTTTTGTTATTGGCATCATTTCAATATGTAGAAATTAAATAGGCATGACAGCATTCTGCATTGATCTTGGCTGAGGAAAATCTTCATTATTTCCACACTGAAAGCAGCTCAGATAGTAGGAAGGTGATACACCTCAATAACTGTCCCTAAAAGCTCACTGATATGAACAAGTACATGTTGAGTGCTCTGCCTGCCAAGGTTAACTGCAGCTTAGAAGACTCAGGTACTCAATGTTACATTAAGGGGGCAGGAAGGGGTTTTAAGCCTGAAGATGAAGGAATAGGTACAAAAGGAAAATATGGGCAAATTGAATGGAAAAAGGGGAAATAAATATATCTGTAGTAGAAAATGGATGCCCAACAACCCTCAAAGACAGAGGTGAGATGAAAGTTTGTTTAACAGATTAGACCCATCCAAAGAACTAAAATAGTGGGAACTATAAGTGGTTACATTTGCAGTCATACTATTACATATACACTACTTTTCAGTGTGGAATTTGCATGTTGCCTGTGTGAATTTGTCGTAGGTGCTTTACCTTACTCCCACAGTCCAAACATATGTAAGTTAAGCTAATTATAGACTTAATTGCCCTTGGTGTTCGTAGGATATAGTTCAGCCCCCTGCGACCCTCCCTGCACAGTATAGATAATGGATGAATATATGGATGGACATAGATACTGCAATGACTGTAATTTAATTCTCACATATATGCTGTATGATTTTGTTAAGTTAGGATAATTAAATGCGACCATACTGCTACAGAGACCTTATATGCTTGTAGTGCTCTAACATGGCAGCAATTTGAAACACCACAATAGCACACTGATGACGCTAGAAAGATCATTCCAAAGACTAAATGAGATTAATGTAAATGTCTCTGTGATTGTCTGTAGGAGGCTGTGGCTCAGGTCCACATGTTGAAGTGCACTTGAGCAAAGCACTGAACTCCAATTATCCGAGAGGCACATTGTAACGTTCTTTTTATGGAATATAAAATATGGAAAACCAATATTTGCAAGATCTGTTCTTCTCATGATATGCAAAGTGAGATTGTATATCCCACCTAATGATAATAGTATAAGCCATAGGATTTCCCACCAACATTGGTCTGAATTACTCCTGGTAGATATGTTAGGAGGCACGTCAGCAGTGGTGCACAACTACATCACTCATGGTCTTAACCAGTTACTCCTCTGAAACAGTGGACACACTGTAGAACACAATGTAAAACAAAATGACACTACAGCTTATGTCTGTGAGTTGGTTGCCCCAATTCATGCTGGGAAATTTCTGTTCATGCCTACCTGACTCCAATAATACTTTTAATATTTTTGCCTCACTGCCAACTTTATTTATTACAAATAATAAAAAGCCCATTAGTCATTCTGAAATTAAAAAGTCTCTGACTGCAAGAATAAATAAATTATTTGAAATTTGAGAAAAATATATTTTGGATGTAATTACACAATATACATTTAATGAACAGTTTTGTTATACTTTCAGTGGAGCAATCAAATTCATTGAGTGCCGTATGAAGCACCCTTTGTTTGTGGTTCAGCCTGCTGCTTTTTAACTAGAATACATTATGTAGCACTCTATATGCAGAGATGATTGTCTGACAATCACAACAGAATCAGCACTGCATCAGTCCCGGCTGTAAATCCCACATCAACACAGAGCTCAAATCACAATCAAAACAGCATTTCAGATGAAGAGGGATTTAAAGCACATATTGTATTTTACAGTTCATACAGCCAACAGAGTGACGTAAAAGACATATGGCAAAGATATACGGAGGCAATATGGTGCAACTCAGCGGACTATAGTGAGTGTTCTACACAGATTTGACCACTTAGCCATTCAGCAGCCTATCCTAAGACAGAGCAAAGCAGGCTAATAAACCACTCTGAACCCAGTGCCCATAATAAATCTAAGTATGCAAATATTCATACATACTATGCTCAATATACATTACACACACTCTCTCTCTCTCTCACACACACACACACACACACATAGCTGCAGACAGTTGGGCCCATTTGTGAGTGTACCGATATAGTATGCCTGCATGATAGATGAAGGCTGTAAAGAAGCTTTGCGAGATAAATCCAAAGCACAGCTGTGCTCTTTAAAACACACACACACACACACACACACACTGAGATCCCGTGAATGACAGAGCTTCACCTCTGCCACATGATCAGTACGTAGTTGGATTTCATGGGCTTGGCCAGTTTATTAATTCCCCTTTTTTTTTACATACTGATTGAAAGTGAGGCATTCAAATACAATTTATACTTAGTATGATTTTAAAAATCATATCAACAGAGGATGAAAAGTTAACTTTTAAATGACTTAACATGTATTCTTTTTAAATAAAATTGTGATTTGAAATTAATTAGCCTGAGAAACTTAAATATCGTGGTGGTGGAGCAGCTCTGTGCATTACAGGCCATTGATTTTACCCCACTAACCGACTGTCACACTGACACAGTGGCTTTAAAGGCCACACTGTCTCACTGCGGGGCTGACCCAGGTTCACCTCAAACACACCCACTGCATCCCTCAGCAGCGCTAATTAGCTTAGCGCAATAACCTACTGGCACACGAGGCTCCAGGCTTTGCGATCTGACCTCAAGAATTTCCCTGACTTCATGGAACAGCACGCAGAGCAGGACATTTACATATGTATATATATATTACAGGTGTGATTTCCTGCTGACATCAAGTTGGCTCACAATGTAATATATATATATATATATATATAAAATGTGTTTATGATAATTTCCTCTTATACTCTGCTTTCATTAGTGCTATAGTTGATAGACTATTTTTTTGTCATGAATTTGTTGAAAATCTAACCAGCTTTTAAAATGTTGGTGTCATATTACCTTATATTTGATTTTTTTTAAAAATCACATGATTACACACAATAGACATCCAACATATCTTCCATATACAACAAAGGCTTTATATTCCCAGAAATTCACTGGCCTGCAGTCTTTTGCTGCTGGCTGTCTTGTTGCTGTCTTGTGACCCTCTAAGCAATGCTTACTCATGACTTCTTGTCAGAGGTTGCCTGTCAGCAGTGCCAGCCCCCTGTTCCCTTTTAAGATGGCATTTTGGAAGAATTACAAAAATGAACTGAATTTTTAAGTAGCTCAATCATCAATACTGAGTGAAATACTATTGTCTTAAGGCTGGCATAACAGCACATGTATCAGTGTTTTAGAAAAAAAGGTGACTTCAGTGTTTATTCTATGTTTGACACTTAAACTGCCATACAAGAACTTCAGAGTCTGCAAGCACTGGAGTCTCATCTGTATATTCATGCAAGTCATTTGCCTATCACTCTCTATGCAGGTGTGTGTGAAAGCTGCTGCACACCTGGATGATGAGCTAACCGACACTGAGCGTGTAATAAGAGATATGTGACAGTCTCTTACCGAATGAGATCCAGCAGAGCGTCAGCAGAGCTGGTCATTGGCTTCTTGCTTTCGTCAGAGTCCTCCTTCTGAGCAGCTCCGCCCGGGTGGATGATGTATACCATGACAATGCCCACTACCACAGCAACAAAGGTGGTCCAGAGGTAGTAGGAGATGGTCATGATGCCCAGGCGACTGGAGCACTTGGCGTCCAAGGCAGCTAGACCTGACATCAAACTGGGGGATGGAGAGGAAGTGGAGACAAAAAGACAGGCAGGGAGGTAGAGGTTAATGTTAGAAGTTGAGAAAGGACTGTCAGTCCACTGTTATAGAACTGCCTTTGTTCTGCCTCCATTTTCAGAAGTGGATTTGAAAAAATAATTTCAGTTTCCCTGCAGAGGCAGGCTGAATAAAAGTATTAGCTGATTGGCATGCCGTTGCAGATCTAATTTAGTGTTCATTTGCACTTAAAGCATTTATGGAGTAAAGAAATAAGTGACACTAAATTGTACATTTAAGCTGCAGGTTACTGAATATATTACTGAGTTATATGCTGCCATTGTTAGATTAAACTATATAACTCTTACTTCTGTCATTTTTTGTATCTTTTTGAAAATACATGAGGTAATATCGATCTTTCACAAAAGTTATGAGGAAAATCAATCACTTATATTTAAAAGACTAAAAGTGAAAATTGTAATGAAACAGCAAGTGCTTTATGTTCAATATCCATCCTAATAACATACTTTATGCAAAACATCCATCAAGGCTTCAATGAGGCGTTTGATCAAACAGCTTTGACATGATGGCACCACTTAGCCAAACTCAATGAGCCTGTTTTCAAAACAGAGACATCTTTTATGAAAGAACTTGCCTCTGCCGTGTCAGATAAGGCAATCCGTGTGAGTGAGAAAATGGCAGAGAGAATAAAGCATCAAACGTAATTGTCTTTTCTGTCTTTGTGTCTCTGTCACTTACTCCTTTGCTTTTACTTGTGAAATGTGAATCTAGCCATTCATGCCCCTCTCTTCTCTGTCACAGAAAGCCTGGGGGGTGGGGATAAACAACTATAATCATAAAAATTGTAAACAGAAGAGAGTAATTTGCATTTAAATGGGCTGCTTTGAATAGTCCTCCAGTTCAGATATTCATTTCCACTGCATGGTGACATCTGTTGAAATTTTCAACTCATATTATACTGTTTGCACCTCAGATTTAACAGAAAAAAATGGCAGATGTTCTTTGTGGGAAATTGTGTGAGAGGGAGCTGAAATGATGGCCTAGCTGGAGGGTGGAGTGAAGTAGGAAGTCTCTTGAGCTGGGGTGACAAGATTTCATCCCTGTCCAAAATGTAATCTGGTTTGACTTGGCAAGTGTTTAGATGGGGCTTCTGAGTCTTTCTGTGTAGTCACTGTCTGTGCTCAACCTCATCCTGCCATCGATTATTTTATCATCTCTGACATGTACAACCGACAGAGAGCCTCCATCTCATTCCTCTCACATGAGTCTGCGCATTGTTCACATCTTTAAAAAGTGTGTTATCAGAATGTTCAGCTGGTCCGTACTACTTACACAGGTTTGAAACTGTTAGTGCTGAATCATCAGAAAGCATGTGGCTACAAGTATGAAATTCTTCATAAAATAAAAATGATTTTCTGCCTGTAGCAGATCCAGGACTTCCTTTAAAAAAGTTTAAATTGAGCACAGGATTAAATGCCTTCACTACACTGCAGCCACATAACATTTCTACAGCTGCAAAAATGAGTCAGTGCTGACACACTTGCACAAGAGATAAAGCCACATTTGGTTTGGACTGGAGCCTGAGATCTGAGTCTGGTGGGAATATGCATACAAATGAAGGGCACAAACTCAGATGCCTGACTTGAAGCTGATGCCATTACAACAAAATGAGCTAGAATGCAGTCAGAGCTCTTTTCCTGCAGTTTTTACACTTCAGTTGTTGTATATATTAAACAAATTGAGCTTTAGATGTTCTAAAACTGGATTGTTTTTTCAAAAGAGCCATGCTAGCTATGTTTCCCCCTGCTTCTAGTCCTAAAGCTGAATTAAGCTAACTTTCTTCTTGCTCTAAGTTGTTTAGTGTATTTAGTGTACAACATAAGAGTGGTCTCATTCATTTCACTCTTGGTAAGAGAGCTAATCTGGGTATTTCCTGAAAATGTAGAGCGGCTAAATGTACTCTGGGTAGTCCTGCTGCGTGAATGTGGCACCACTGATTCTCAATGCAAACAAGCTTTCTGTGCATGTGAATAAATGTGCAAATGTGCCTGAATTTTTTTTATATGAAATTATTCTATCGTCATCAAATATATAAACAAATTAAATATAGATAAAAGGTTCACTGTTCACTCAAGGCAATGTATTCATGCACCCTAAACTTCTGTTGGTTTGTTAAGTAATGGGCCATTTCTTGTGTGTTACAGAGACTACAATAACTACTACTCAGGGAAAATAATGGCAGTTTTCTAACCTACTGAATCTTCTGTTGACCCTGCACAGTACAAAAGCACACAGAGAAATGCATCACTGCACTGCTTTCCTTCTCATGTTGAGTGGAACTAAATCTTTCCATAAGAATTTTTTTCTTTCTTGCAGTAGAAAGCATCATTAGAGCTATAAAATCAGCTCTCTATTTGTGAATTTCTACCACGCATTCATAATTTCCTCTTCACCTGCACTGATACCTTTTTTTCTGTTCCCTCATGTAGTGAGCATTGCTCTTCTGAAGACATCAAGATATTGTACTTCATACAATATCCTTTTGACCTAAAACATCACCAAATGTGCCTTTTGCTTTGCTGATATTTTTTACATGGACCTAAAAAGAACCATGGCCCTTCTTGACGAAAATATTTTTGTTGCTACCTTTTAATGCATTCTCACTGAGCTGAACATTTGTAATGTGCTTCCATCATTGTGCATTGCACCACTCCCATGAATGACCCATGGTATGACTGTAATTTGAATGCAATTAGCAGCAAATTGCTGCCTATGGCATTTGGAACACTTTACTGCATTAATTAGTGCATAAAATTATTATTATGGAGTCTGAGTATGAGAGTATAATGTATGAAAACAAAGTAAGTGTGCTTGATTAGCCAGGAAGCAGTCACCACCATCATGATTTGAATTCTCATCACAGATATTACACACTGCAGCAAAGAGACTGACGTGCAAGTTAAAATTATTCCACCATGTTGTTCCCATCTATTAAATAGAAGAGCTCTTGAAATTCACTGCCAAAGGTGTTCCACAATTGACTGTTTGTTTTTTTGCTTAGGTTGAATGTTTTGATGTGAGTGGAATTACAATGCCAGAAAGACACACAGCTGTGATAACTAAGTCGCTTGACCTGCGCAGGTCAAGGACTAGACGACCTCGGAGCAGAAAGTAAATCTGAGTTGGAATGACGGCACAACAAAACAATAATCTTCTGGGAAATGGCAGACAAACAGTTTCAACTGATTTGTGCTGCATTGTGTATCCAGATGTTTGGGGCAGAGTTGACTTTACTGTTTTTTTCTCCACTGCAACTCTTTGGGAAACCAGAAACTGCAGCCAGGGGATCAAAATGGGGAAAAAATTACATTTCCTATTCCAGGGATTTACCTCATGACCTCCTCTGCCCTGCTCTGTGCATTTAAATCTGATAATAACATAAAATGTTGTATTTTTGATGGAGTTTTTGATGTGCTACTGGTGAGGTGGTATCAGCTGGGAAACTGATATAAACTGATAAAAACATCAACAGTAATGCATGATTAAAATATGAAAGATCTTTTATTTTAATTGACAATTTATACATGAAACTGGGAACATTTTATTTTATCTCATTATAATTATTTAAATCAGTTGCTGTTTCAGATTCAGAGTTGCAGATTATTTTGAAGTTTTAACATTTTATTTGTGTTATATCTAATTTGAGCAGATAAGCACTCTTGGTAATTTTAATGTGTTCTGTATTTTAAACGGATTAAAACTTGGTGTTTGCTTTTGAATCATGATCATACAAATCCTACTAACCCTTCTGAACTGACAACCAAGCAGAGAAAATAATATACTTTATAATGTAATTTACTAGCACAGTGTCATTCCATTACACCTACTGCGTGATATTTATAAACAGAACTTGATTTCATTAATGTCTAATATGATACTGATAGGTTGGAGTGTAAATGCCTTGCAAAATTGTGAAATGCTATATACTGTTCTGTAAATGTAATATGTAGCCAGTGGTACCCAACAATTTTGGTTTGTGACTCCTTAAATCTGCAAAAACTGATTTGTATGCCACCTGGGGGCAGCAAAAACAAACTGTACTGTAACTTAAATTGAACAATTACATTTATGTAGAGTTTCTCTGAAAACAACTGTCTGCTGTTGCAAAAAAAAAAGATGTTATGAGAGCAGTGGGATTGAACCAAAACAGAAAAAGATGTAGGCTGTACAATCTAAACAAGAAGCTAAGAGATACAATAAACTATTGACAGTATATATTATGGACAGAGCTTCCAGGTCTATAAAGTTAAGCCAGCGCGGAAGTGTCTTAAAACCTGCATTCTATGTAAAGGCCAGCAGGGGAAGCTCCATTGGCTGCAATGAAAGACGAAACCATTCACTCTAGTAGAGAAATGAGCTGACTTTTCACTTGATTTATCAGCTCAGTAAACAGATTTTAAACAGAGTTTATGGTCTCAGTCTCTAGTTTCAAGTCTTCTTCCATACATTATGATGTTCATATAGTAAATTGTGGTCGAATTTAGAGTAAAATAGACGATAAAGTCGTGTATGATTTTGTGCGTGGCTACCATGTGACTGAAACTCAGATCAAACTGTAAAACTAAGTTTCTGTTTCTGTTTCTGTTACTGCGTATTTCTTACCTAAAATCGTTCCAGAAACATTTTTGTATGTGACCCGATGAGCTGCCATTGTTTCCTGCTACATACGAGTCAAAACAGTGCAGATTATGAGAGCAGCTCAACTTGCAGTATGTCACCTTCGCTGGTCTGTCTAGCTGTTTTGGCGACGGCCAAAACTTGAGGCTTCAAAAGGATATTTCACAAACCAGTGGGTGACGTCACGATAGGTTCACACTTGTCTAAAACACTCAGCATAGTTGACAAGAACTGCAGAGTCGGTGATAATTGGGGGCATGCGGATGTGCATCCAAGCTTACATGCTTTCACACACAACCTGTTTGTGATAGGCCACTCCC